TCAAGCCAGCTTTCGCACTCTCCTCTTTCACCCTCATCAAGAGGCTCTTTAGTTCTTCTTGGATATATTAAGTCCATTCACTGTGCTAAGGCTAAGCCATAATATGGATTGTTTAGTTTTAGCTTAGCATGTTGGATGGTTCCACTCAGTTGTGATTTATTTAACAATCTGTGGTTATGCAAATACATTTATAATCCTGTACAATATATAAGTCTGGTCAGTAATTCAGACTCCGGCATCCACATTTTTAAAATGCAGAGATTGGGAACTTGTGACTTACAGATATAGCTGGAGGGCCACAGATTCTCTGTCCTTTCCTTTCCTTTCCTTTCCTTTCCTTTCCTTTCCTTTCCTTTCCTTTCCTTTCCTTTCCTTTCCTTTCCTTTCCTTTCCTTATTGAGGGGTGTTTACACATTTCTTAACATTTATGTAAATATGACAAAAAGGTTTTGATGAGAGGTATGGCCCTTCTCTTTCCACTTCTATCAACCATCTTTTATCATTGTTTTAATAGTTTTATATTGTTTTTTAGAGGAAGCACTATTGTGAGTGATGCACCCGAAAAAATACTTTAAACGTCTTGGATTAATAAAAATGTCATTTTTGTGCAACTGGAGACTATCTACATGAACATGCATAAATCATAATCTAGGCAGATACAGAATGCCTTCCATTTTGCTATGAGAAATTTTCTCTTGCTCTTTTTCCTCAGAAACACCCCCACATCCTAAGCTTCTTTGATTAAATAGTGATTTAGAGACAACTGTATAATGCCACAGGGTTTCACAGCACTACTGCTACCAAAATATACTTATCTGTAAAGTTTATACAGTTCCTAAGCAGGAATTGTAACATATAGCTACTAAATTTCTTCCACTATAGATGTGGGGAATGAAATGCACAATAACTAGGCACAATGGAAGATGAAGCTCATGTACCTTTAATAGTTCTTGCACCTTGAGGATGAATAATAGACTTTTGGGTCCTAGTTATCACAGATACCAAATTATCTAATTGCCTGGCTCCCTTTAATACTGAAGGCCACTAGAGAGTGTTAGGATTTGTTTATGTGACATGTTTAACTGACTAGTATATCATGGGTGGAGGACTACCATGTCATGTGAAGATCCTAACCTAGACAGCTAATTACTTCTGGTTAGCCATGGCATCTGAACACATTACTGGGAGGTTAATCCTTCAAAGATAGACTAAATCTTAGAATGGCAGAATGAAAATGGGGCTTCTTTAGGAATGTATTGTGTGGCATTTTTATTGTTGTTGTTTCTCTGTTAAAGGGAAAAAAACTGGGAAGTCAAGTAATTGTCTTCTCATTTCCTTTGCAACAGCTAGGAGAACTTAGAAAATGACCTCTCTTCAACTTACTGGGTCATTAGAAATCATGCAGCGGCCACCTGGATCAGCTGTGTCATGCAAATACAGTCTTACAGTATTTAGGCTTGGACATCACTAGAATAGTATAAATAATAGGCAATGTCTGCCTTCTCAAGATGGGATAGCAGGTGACCTAATAGCATAGGATCATAAAAAGCATTTCTACCACTGCTTTTACCTGATTTTTCCCAGTTATGGCAGAGTCCAGGAAGATCCCTCAGATTGTGTGCTCAGTCTTTCAGGGGCAGTGCCATCTTTTCTGAGCTTATGTTTCCAGGAGAGTTTGAATCACCATAGTATTATACCTTCTAAGCCCAAGCCAGAGAATCCAGAAAGAGAATACTGTTGTCAATAGTCTCAAAAGCTACTGAAAGGTCCAGAATGACTAACAGATTTGGCCTTCTCTATCCAGCCTCTCACATGTCAACCACTGTGCAGTTAAATCTGTAGACTCCTTGGTGCTCTCTGAGCTTGGTTGTTTGCTTGCAGATGTTTCATTACCCAACTATGGTATACATCATCAGTGCTAGGAAACAGACTGCCTATACAACATCTTCCAACTAAGTGGGTACCCACACAACTTTACCAAAAACTGCCTGACCACTCAACCCACTACAGCACAACCAACACAAACTATGAAAAGGATAACACTACCATACATCAAAAAATCTCAGAAACAGCCAACAGACTATTACAACCACATAGCATCACTGTAGCACACTAACTAAAGCCCTCCAAAACATCTTAAGTAAACCAAAAGACCCAGTTGTCCAAGAAGAAAAAAACAGGAGTCATCTACAACATACAGTGTATGGACTGTAACAGCCACTATGTAGGACAGGCAGGCAGAAGACTAGCACAGAGCATCCATGAACAGTAACTAGCAGTCAGAAGACACAGTGAAAACTCCTTAATCTCACAACACATGGACAGATTCAACCATAGTTTCAACTGGGAAACTGTAAGCATCCTAGACCAAGCTAAATCCAAAAACACTAGGGAATTCCTGGAAACTAGGCATTCAGACAAATCAGCCATCAATAGATACATAGAGATAAACCACATTTATACACCATTCAAAAGAGACAATAAAAAGTAAAAAGGAAACAAAAAGATCAGAACATCCTCTCCAGCAGCCTACACCCAGGTAAGCAGGGATTAACACCAGACAATCAAGCAGAAAACAATACCTTAACAACTGGCATGGGGCAAAAAAAGGGGCAACCAACCCTGGGGATGGCTAGCACCTTGAAGGTGCTCCCATATGTTAACATCTTATTGATCACCAGCATCTTGGAAGATATTATTATTTATGTATGTGTTTTGGTTTTACTGTATTTTTATATTGTATTTTAATTAATATTAATTAATATTAACGCAATTGTCCCACCCCCGGTGTCTGATGGACCTGTTGGGGTTTCAGAGGGAGCTGGGGGATATTCCCGTGGATCTGCTGCATGGTCCAGGAGAGGCCTTGGCTGCTGCCTGGAATAGGGAGGCGGCTGGGGCCTTGGACAGGATCATGCCTATGTGACCTCTCTTGCCACATAGGCCCTGACACTCCCCATGGTTTATGGAGGAGTTGAGGGTTCTGAAGAGGGTCAAGAGAGGTCTAGAGCGCTGATGGAGGAAGACAAAGACTGAATCTAACCGAACACAGGTAAGAGCCGCTATCAAGGCCTACATTGTGGCAATAAGGGTGGCGAAGCGCCAATACTTCTCTGCCCTTATTGCATCTGCAGAGTGCTGCCTGGGGGCCCTGTTTGGGATCACTAGATCCCTCCTTGGTAAGAAGGATCTGGTGATTCATTTGCAGAGCCGTGTGGAGGAATTTTCAGAGCATCTGCAGGACAAAAATCGCTCAGATTCGTTCCAAGTTAGACTCTGAGCGTGGAGCAGGGTCTGGGGAGATACCAGGGGATCGTTCTTACCCAGTTATCTGGGAACGGTTTGATCCTGTTGTTCCTAAGGAAGTGGACAGGATCCTCTGGACTGTGAAGGCCACCATTTGCCATCTGGACCTGTGCCCCTCCTGGCTGGTGGAAGCAGCTCGGGAGGTGAAATGTAGTTGGATCCAGGGGATAGTTAATACATCCTTGTGGGAGGGAGTGTTTCCATCTGCCTTTAAAGAGGCGTTGGTGCACCCCCTCAAATATTTTTCCTTTTTTTTCTTTTTTAAAAAAGA